TCTGAAACATCAATGGATTAACTACTACTACTTTTAGCACCATGATTTTATTAGTGTGTTGTGATGCCCGAGCATGATAATAATTATACAACAAAATATAATTTACAAAAAACCTTATGCAGCATTCAAAGAGTCGGTGAGCTGAACTCCTGCATCAGTTCCTCCAAGCGACGACCATCCTCTTCATCGGTCCCTCCCAACCACTCCTCAAGTTTTGCTTCTCTCTCAGTCGTAAATTCATCATAGTTCTCTGAAAACGAAACTAATTGATGATTCGACGCACTTTCATCAACTGGGAGTTCTTGCTGTAGCTCATCATCAATCTGACTTGACACAGGCAATTCTTCAGCTTCTGCATCTGGCAGAGTAGAATTCATGCATCTTGTTGAAGGCGAATGGCAGTTCATCACTGGTTTCGCTAAAGTTATTAAGGGAATAAAGTAAAATAAGAGAAAAAGAAGAAAATGTTTCAATACATTAGGAAGTTCTATATAATTTTATTGTTAATGCCCAAAAAAATCTTACATCAGTCCAAATTATGTAATATATAATCACGAGCACATATGAAAACATAGGAGGCAGCAGTAATCACACTTCAAAACGGTGGTAACAGAATCTGTGATTTCACTTAATCACTCTCATTTGAGATTTTAGATTGTAGAAGATTTTAACCAAATAATTTTTTTTTTAAGTGGCCAGTTAAACAACTATATGTACAAAAGTAATTTCATTATTTTTCCTCCAACTAAACAATGTCTTTCCCTTCCTCCCATTTCTTTTTTTTTTTTTCTTTCTTTTTTGAGCATCAACAAAAATTTTATTAAAAAAGAAAATGAAAGAGGACGTGAAGTCCTCATACAAAGAAGTAGAAAGAATGTTTGGCAAGAAAAATTTTAGCCCTTTTAGGCTAAAATTTACAAAAAGACAAAATATGCTAAAATAGCTAATAAGACAAAATGTCACATCAAACTCATAATTATTTTACTTTTTCTCTGACAAACATCACATCCAACTATAAAAAAATCCAATCATCTTTCCAAACACAAAAATTTTAGCTTACTAAAATAACAACTTCCCAAACACCCACAAAAGCACAAAACTCCTAGCTCTAGGGATGACAAACAACAGTCTAATCCCTAGAGATCAAGAACAATGGAACTCCTTTAAAAGGAGGTGATACAAATGCCCAAAACGAAGCCAAGTGTACCACCATATCCCACAAAGCCTCTACGTTTAATTCCTTGCCATCAAAGAGTCTTGCATTTCTCTCCAATCATATAGTCCAGAAAATCGCAAAAACAATGCTTAACCACAATGTTTCGGCTCTTTTGGTGCCCCCAAACCCTTTGAACCTAAAAAGAAGCATTTGAATGCAATCCCGCAAAGCAACCCTCTGATCATCAAATAAGCCGAAAGGACACTGTCATAATACAAAAGCCACTGGGCAATGAAGGAAAACATAATCTGCTACATTCGAATCTCTCTTGCACATCACACGCCATTGAGGGCAAAGAGAGTGATTAGACCCTCTTCTTTAGAGAACATCATTAGTTGTGACACCTTTTTGAGCTAAAAACCACATGAAGAACTTCACTTTATGAAGAACAACTGCTTTCCAAATTTTCTAATGAATAGGAAACAAAAGAATAGAGGGATTATCAATAAGTTTATCAAAAAAGGATTTACCGGAAAAGACCCCTGAAGAACTAAGATTCCATCCCCTAATGTCACAAGAGGAAGAAAGAGATACCCCATGAAGCAATATCAACAAAGTTGCCAACTTAGCCACCGCCCTATCATTTAAGTTCCTAAGGAAATCAAAATTCCAAGAGGTGGGAGCCATAGAAGAGCATGCCACCGACGCTATTGAAACATTCCTAGAACGAACCAACCGATAAAAAAGAGGAAAAGCTCTATCAAACGAGATATCCCCTACCCACACATCCTCCCAAAAACGGATGCTCACGCCATTCCTCACTCTCAATGAAAGGAAATTAGACACAAGTGGATACAAGCAAGAAATGGACTTCCACGGAAAACGACAATTGCCTCTATTAACCATGTTAGAATCGGTATCATTGAGTTGAACAAAATAATTGCTCTTAACAACTAAACACCATAGTGAATCACTTTCAATAGGAAATCTCTACAACCACTTGCCCAAGAGAGCAATGTTCCTAGCAATGATATTTCCTATAGTTAGACCCCCTTTATCCCTAGGGAGTGAAACAACCTCCCACTTAACCAAATGAACCCTTTTACCCTCTTTACACCCTTTCCAAAAGAAAATCTCTCATCAATTTCTTAATTTTCCTCGCAATGCCAACTGGAATCTTGAATATGAACAAGAAATAAACAGGAGCAAAGCCTAAATAAAGATTGTACCAAAGTATATCTCCCTCCCTCAGACGACAAAGCTTGCTTTTATCCCTTAAATCTTTTCTCAAATTTGACAAGAACAGGCTTCCAAAAAGACACCACTCTAGGATCTCCCCCCAATCGAAGCCCCAAGTATTTGAGAGGAAATAATTCAATGGAACATCCAACATATCCTCCACCCTTTGCACATAGTTTTCTTCCAAATTAATACCCACAACACTACTCTTGTTAAGATTGACAGTGAGGCCCGACACAATTTCAAAAATTCTCAAAATCTTTAACAAACTACCCACCTTACTTTCCTCATTTGATGAAAAAAATGTAGTATCATCCGCAAACTGTAGATGAGTGACGCCAATCCTAGCCCTCCCTACTATAAATCCCTCAATAACACCCTTACCCTAAGCTATATCAATTATTCGACTCAACACACCAACAACTAAAATAAACAAAAATGGTGATAAATGATCACCCTATCTTAGACCCCTAGATGCCCGAAAAGAGTCCCCAGCCTTACCATTCATTCACAATGACCGACATATTGCAAGACGACAAGCACCCCCCAAATCCACATTCTCATCTAGATCTAAACCCCTTCATTTTCAAAACAAAATCCACAAAGTCCCAATCAACATGGTCATACGCCTTCTCAAAGTCAACCTTAAAGACAACACTCTCCTTATGTAACCCTCTATACTCCTCAATAACCTCATTTGCCACTAAGATTACATCTAATATTTGTCATCCCTGCATAAACACACCTTGTGCAGAAGAGATGGTTTCCTCAAGGACCACCCAAATTCTCTCAAAAAGCACATTTGCTAGAATTTTGTAAAGTGATGTAACCAAGCCAATGGGTCTAAAATCCCCAATCTTGACCGACTTCCCATTCTTGCGAATTAGACAAATGAAGGACGCATTGGTGCATAAGTTGACCTCCCCACTTTCAAAGAACTCACCAAACACTCTCATAAGATCCATTTTCACAATGTCCCAACAATCATGAAATACGGCCATTGAAAAATCATCTGGACCTGGAGCCTTATCTTTCTCACACTCAAACACCGCATGTCTCACCTTACATTTGTCAAAGGGTCTCTCAAGCCAATTGGCTATTGTTGACTCCATAAGAGCCCAATTAATGTCTTCGATCCTTGGATAATCCACTCCCCCATCAGAGTAGAGATTTGAATAAAAATTGAAAATCTCCATAACAATAAACTCATCCTTACTCACCACCACACCCTGCCCTACCTCCAAATTTTTAATAAAATTTTTCATCCTTTTTCCCAACGCAACCCTATGAAAAAATCTAAAATTGGTATCACCCTCTTTAGCCCATTTCAACTTAGCCCTTTGTCCCCAAAAAATATGCTCCCTAAAAACAAGCTCTTCCAACTTAATCCTAAGCAATGATCTCTTATCCCTTAAAGCCCCAGATAAACCCTCCCTAAATTCCTTCGCATCCAATTTCTCAATATCTTGAACTAACTCCGCTTTCACCTCATTTAGATCATCAAAAACTTTACGCTTCCAAACCTTTAAATTATCCTGGACTCCTCTCAGCTTTCTCATAAACTTAAAACCCTCCCACCAAATGGACTTTACTGTTTTCCTACCAATCCTTAAAATTCTCCTTAAAATATCGATTTTCCAACCACGTATTCTCAAATCTAAAGAGGGTAGGACCCCATTTAAAAGGACAGCTCTCAAGTTTCATCGGGCAATGGTCTGACACAATTCTTGGCTCTGCCTCTTGCCTTATATCTAGAAGCAACTCCTTCCACCCTAGAGTATGAAGCAACCTATCCAACCTACAACACACAAGATTTTACTGAAGATTAGACCAAGTAAACTGAGCATTACTCAAGGGCGGGTCAAGCAACTCACACCCCTTTATAAAAAAGTTGAAATCCCGCAACTCGTATTTGTGGAAACCCTATTGAGTTTTTCCGAAATAAGCCGAATCACATTGAAATCTCTGCTTACACACTAATTAGGGGAACAAAGCCCAAATAATCCCGCCAACTCCTCCCACCACTCCTAACGACTACTAGGCCCATTGGGTCCATAAACCCCTCGTCAACCACCATTCCTTGTTATCCCGATTCCTAAACCTAATAGACAATGAAAACACCCCAACAACTATTTCACACTCCAATACAACTCTCTCATCCCATATAATCAAAATTCCCCCTGATCTCCCGTTAGAAGGTAAAACAGTCCATCTCCTAAACCTAGTCCCCTAAACATTCCTAATGAAACCTCTATCGCATTCCTCACTTTGTCTCTTGAAACATCACTCTATCTAGTTGATGAATTTTCAAAACCTCTTTAATTACCATCTTTTTCCTACAAAACCGTAGTCCTCTAACATTCCAACTCAAAATCTTCATCGAGAACCAACATCACCCATTGTCTTTTTCACCGGCCCCTCATAATTAATGCCACTTTCAAGGTCTCTTAATTCCTTCATCCTTTTTCTCTGCCCCAAGCTTCTATGACTACTACCGCCCTTAGATGCAAACCCCACACTCCTAGACCTAGACTTCTTCACATTCTTCCTAACTAGTGACAAACCAAGAATGTCAAGTAATTGTGTAAAGTGAGGCACATCTCCCTTCTCCAAGGGGAAAGACACATAATCATTTTCCTCAACCACTTTTTAGATTCATCATTGTCATTCCCATGAACATCGTTCCTCTCAAGCCTATGATTAGTAGACATTTCCATCGAAAGATCATCCCTATGACTTTCCTTGTTAATTGCATGTGGTTTCAAACTATCACTCGTAGAGGACCTACTAGCAACTAACTAAGGCAAATTGTCATTCTTGGTAGAAACCACTCTGCTAGGATGTGAGAAAAAAGGACCCAAGAGTGACTCCTCCCCAGAAACTGATTCAGAAAATTCTTCATCCTCTTTCCCAACGCAACCCTATGAAAAAATCTAAAATTGGTATCACCCTCTTTAGCCCATTTCAACTTAGCCCTTTGTCTCCAAAAAATATGCTCCCTAAAAACAAGCTCTCCCAACTTCATCCTAAGCAATGATCTCTTATCCCTTAAAGCCCCAGATAAACCCTCCTTAAATTCCTTCGCATCTAATTTTTCAATATCATGAACTAACTCCGCCTTCATCTTATTTAGATAACCAAAAACTTTACGCTTCCAAACCTTTAAATTATCCTAGACTCCTCTCAGTTTTCTCATAAACTTAAAACCCTCCCACCAAATGGACTTTACTGCTTTCCTACCAATCCTTAAAATTCTCCTTAAAATATCGATTTTCCAACCACGTATTCTCAAATCTAAAGAGGGTAGGACCCCATTTAAAAGGACAGCTCTCAAGAATCACCGGGCAATGGTCTGACACAATTCTTGGGTTTGCCTCTTGCCTTATATCTAGAAGCAACTCCTCCCACCCTAGAGTATGAAGCAACCTATCCAACCTACAACACACAAGATTTTACTGAAGATTAGACCAAGTAAACTGAGCATTACTCAAGGGAGGGTCAAGCAACTCACACCCCTTTATAAAAAAGTCGAAATCCCGCAGCTCGTATTTGTGGAAACCCCATTGAGTTTTTCTGAAATAAGCCGAACCACATTGAAATCTCTGCTCACACACCAATTAGGGGAACAAAACCCAAATAATCCCGCCAACTCCTCCCACCATTCCTGACAACTACTAGGCCCATTGGGACCATAAACCCCCGTCAACCACCATTCCTTGTTATCCTGATTCCTAAACCTAATGGACAATGAAAACACCCCAACAACTATTTCACACTCCAATACAACTCTCTCATCCCATATAATCAAAATTCCCCCTGATCTCCCGTTAGAAGGTAAAACAGTCCATCTCCTAAACCTAGTCCCCTAAACATTCCTAGTGAAACCTCTATCACATTCCTCACTTTGTCTCTTGAAACATCACTCTATCTAGTTGATGAATTTTCAAAACCTCTTTAATTACCATCTTTTTCCTACAAAACTGTAGTCCTCTAACATTCCAACTCAAAATCTTCATCGAGAACCAACATCACCCATTGTCTTTTTCACCGGCCCCTCATAATTAATGCCACTTTCAAGGTTTCTTAATTCCTTCATCCCTTTTCTCTGCCCCAAGCTTCTATGACTACTACCGCCCTTAGATGCAAACCCCACACTCCTAGACCTAGACTTCTTCACATTCTTCCTAACTAGTGACAAACCAAGAATGTCAAGTAATTGTGTAAAGTGAGGCACATCTCCCTTCTCCAAGGGGAAAGACACATAATCATTTTCCTCAACCACTTTTTAGATTCATCATTGTCATTCCCAAGAACATCGTTCCTCTCAAGCCTATGATTAGTAGACATTTCCATCGAAAGATCATCCCTATGACTTTCCTTGTTAATTGCATGTGGTTTCAAACTATCACTCGTAGAGGACCTACTAGCAACTAACTAAGGCAAATTGTCATTCTTGGTAGAAACCACTCTGCTAGGATGTGAGAAAAAAGGACCCAAGAGTGACTCCCCCCCAAAAACTGACTCAGATTGAATGCACTGAAGATGATTAGGAAGTGAAGAGTTCATGTTATCTTTGTCAAAAGAGTCACATACCTTTTTCCCAGAATCAAAGACTTCCTCACCCTCAGTCCTCACAGTGTGCATACAAGAAGAAAACGATACCTCATCTTCATGGAATAGCCAATTTAGGTTCGGATCAAAGGCTTCAACCCTCTCCTCCTTGTTACAGACTTTGACCTCCTCATCCGGACCCGAATATTCCCCTTCCTCCCATTTCTCTCTCTACACTCTTCTTTTGAGCCCATCAGAGACAGCCATCAAGGGCACATGCAATGGCGACCATCATCACCACCTCACCAACACTAAATCTC